GCAAAGAAACTTTGATTAGTTAACTATAAAATGAGACCCATGTTATGTTCTCAACTTTTCTACGTTCAGGAAGCATGGAATTATTTTGCATGGTGATGACAATTAGGTCATTTTCGCCATGGCAAAATATTTCAAGGCCGTTGCTATGGAAACCAAGGAAGCACTGTCCAAAATTTACCCACCTATAGTCTTTATATAGGACACTCTTCAATATTATATTGATAAAATAAAATTCCATGATAGTGCGTGGCCAAGCATTTTTGGTCCTTACAGAGAATTCATGTTAAGTTGTTGGCCTATTAATTAATAAGCGCTACACACATTCCCGCCGTATATTAAAACAAATTCATGATATGTAATAGAAGTAGTGCATATGCAATTTTGCAAAACGCTTACTTCTTTTTATTATGCTTTGAAATCTTTTAAATAACCTCAGTTTATTTAATACTCAAGGATAAACTCTGATTAAAAAAATTTCAATGATCTTAATGTATTTATAAGCGTTGAGGAATTAATTAGTAATGCAAAGGCATAATTCAAGGTTACGTGTCTTTTTTAAATCGCCAGCTGATTATATGCAAACCTTCCCTGAGCCCGGCCCGTCTCTAACACCTTTGATGAAATCTTAGGCACTTACAGGTACATTTTTAATATCTAAAATTATAACGTCGGTTTAGCATATAAATCTTAAAGGCTGCGGTTTCAAACCGGTCGGTTTTCCGTAAATAAGGTTAGTGTCGGGTGGAGCTTAATCAAAGCGGATAAGAAGCTCCGCTGAAACGACGCTGCCTAGTGTATACCTATCTATATACACAGGATGTAACCTGAATGTATTACTTGTGTACGTTTTCCAACGATATAGTTAAAGAAAGTCATTGTTTTTCATGTGTAAATCAATTAGAATGTTGACCGTAAAATTATGAAATAAAGCTTGCAACATATTTTTGCTGCGAACGGAATCCTACATGATTTTTTTCTTGCGACATTTGACAAAAAATGTGACAATTTCAATCATACTGTGTGTTTGTTAATTAACATCAAATGTTATAACGAATATAGAACCAAAATCTGTCGATGTAAGCTGGCGACACAAAGGGGAGTAATTCAAATTGCACGTCGTGTTTGCAAAAAAAAAAGCAGAAAGTGGGTCATATAAAAGTCTCTAAGTAAAAATAAAACTTAGACACGCTGTTTGGAAGCTTCATTTTATAGAAATATTATAAACTTAATAAATATTTTAAGAGGTATTTCCTATTTCATTTTTTTTTTCATTTTATAGAAAAATTATAAACTAAGTACATATTGTAGAAGGTATTCCCTACTTGATTTTTCAAGACTCAAGATCTGTAAAAGTGACCAGGGCTTCGGACCGAGGATGGTTTCCCGACAGCTAGCTATTACCCGGTAAAAGGGGGTTAAATCACCTGCGTCGTCCTCTATTTGTTTCCGTCCAGATTTATAATTTCAAAATATTATAAGCTAAGCAAATCCGAAAAAAATTCTCTTCTAAATCCTTTTAATACACAAAATTTGTCACATTTCCACTGATTAATATACCATAACTTTGACACCTTGTCACTGGTTAATATACCATAACTTAGTCACCTTGTCACTGATTAATATACCGTAACTTTGTCACCTTGTCTCTGGTTAATATACCGTAACTTTGTCACCTTGTCACTGATTAATATACCGTAACTTCGTACTTTGACACCATCATGTCACGAACAGAAAGAAGAATAATGTGTACTAACTAATATTTAATATACACAATGAAATTGTTTTGGCGGGTTTCTTACTTCATATATTGCACAAGTAATAAAAAAACATGCATAAAACAAGATGTGTTTGTGAAACACTGATGCCCCCGTATGGCAACATAATGAAGATTAAACTTTTTAAAAAACAAATTTAAGATATTGATACCCAAAGTAGGGTCGCCTATCTGGAAATACAGTTGTGAAATATAAAAGCTCTATTACCATCTGTTCTCAATTATAGCCAGGTTAAAGTTTTTCAAAACTACACCAATCTTCCAGATCAGGGTCAGAAGGTCAATATTATTGGTATTCAATGAAAGGTATTTCGACAAAGAACACATGTGTGAAGAATGCAAGCTGCAGTCGTTTCCATTCGAAAGTTATGGCCATGGATAAAAGATTTATAAAATAAATTAAACTCCAATATAAAGGTCAGAAGGTCAAGGTTATTGGTATTGAATGAAAGGTCTTGTTACAAGAATTACAAATACATATGTGAAAGCCCTAGCCCTTATTCTTGAAAATTTATTACCAAGGTTAATACTTTTTATAAGTCCGGAAATCTCCAAGGTCAGAAGATCAAAGTTAATGGTATTTTATGAAAGGTCTTTCCATAAAAAATACATATGTGAAGAATGAAAGCTTTAACCTTACCCGTTTAAAAGTTATGGTCAATGTTGAAAAAATACAAAAGGAGGTCAAACTCTAAGGTAAATGTTGAAATGTCAAAGGTCTTGATATCAAATGTAAGGTCTTGTCACAAAAATTAAATACATAAAATATGAAGGCACTAGCTCTAACCCTTTAAAAGATATGGTAAATGTTTGTTTTTTAAAAGTGAGTCAAACTCCAAGGTCAACGTCAAAGGGTCAAATATCATATTATCCAATGAAACGTTTTCTCTCAAGAATTTCATATGTAATGCATGAAAGCTCCATCCATGACCGTTCAAAAGTTATTGCCAAAGTTAGTTTTTTCATTCGTACGTAAATTTCCAAGGTCAAGGTCAAAAGGTCAGAGTTGATGTTATTCAATTAAAAGTCTTGCAATAAAAAATATATATATTTAGTATAAAAGTCCTATAATCTACCGTTCAAAAGTTATGGCCAAAATAAACATTTTAAATTTTGTGTTTAAGTGGGTCAAACTCCAAAATCAAGGTTAAAAGGTTAAATTTGGCGATATCCAAAAAGGTCCTGTCAAAAGAATTACACATGTGAAATATGGAAGTCATATCTTTACTTAATCAAAAATTACGGGCTAGGTTAAAGTTTTTTTCGGACAAAAAGACAAACAGAGAGACATAGAGACAGACGGACAGACGGACATGACAAAAACTCAAAACCTCCGAAATTTTCGTTTACAGGGGCATAATTAGTATAGTGAAATTCATTGGTTAATGTTTATTCAATCCTCAGTCATAAATGTACGTATGGTAAAGTTAAAACTAGAAATTCACCTGTAAAAAACAAAACACCCGAACATGGCTCTCTCGGTGAAAATATGCAAAAACTACCTCTTTATTAAAATAAGAAATAAAAAAAAATTATCTACCGCAGAAAATTTAAGAAAACAAAAATTTTCTTCTTAATACCAAGGTCAGATAACTCTTTAAAAACTTTTAACCTGCAAAATGATTATCTCCTTACATGTTATCAGTCTTTTGAATTTGGTTCATTTCAGTATTATTGTTATCTAGCGCTGCATTTTTAAATAGTTCAAAATTACTTATAATTCATTATACACTGAATATCTTAAGAACAATTAAATAATAATTTTATAAATGTGTAATCAAATAAAAAATGTGTAAATTTTACTGAGTTGGTAAATATTCTTTCAGAGAGCTAGCTGACAACCAGATAACCACCATTCCAGACAACGCCTTTAATGGATTGCCAAATTTACAGAAACTGTAAGTTTTTCATCAATTTTTTCATGTGTCAGATGAAAAGAAAATGTTATTTGTTATCAAATTCACAAATTAGATATGGCAGGTAGTTTGCTTACATTTATAAAAAAGAGTGAAGAAATTCAGAGGATTGCGTAAAGGACAATACATGTTGTCTCTGTATGTCGAAGCAAGTACTGAACATAAACAAGACCAGAAGGTATTGAGTTGGTTATTTGACTCTCTAGAATGAATTTTGAAGTGCCTTGAATGTTTACTCCCAAGGATGGAAAAATATTTTCTACTTAAAGTTTCTTTAGAAGGATATGGAGATAACGAACATTATTCAGTCTCAAAGTTCAGACTTAACCAAAAACATCAGGCACAATGTCTTTAAATGTTTGAGGAGTGAGAGGTGAAAAGCTGTAGTAAGTCTTCAGTATCATATTCAAACTGAAACAAAAATAAGCCTTTTTTTATTTTACTGCTCAACTTGTTTTTCTGGCTTTAATGTTTGGATTTAGTACACGTACTTATAAAACATGTGTAAACCTATAGGGTTTATATCTCTCAGTTGATTAAATACCCCAGAGCACGCTCTACGTATGTACAATTTCTATGACTAGATAAGATATTGACAAACAAGTTGATGAAACAAGAATATCAACAGTCTCGTTTAAAGTCATCATTTCGTAAAAGCCTTGGTCGATACAATGACATTGTCAAAAAATACAATTTATCATTGAGACTAATGCTGTCTGACGTTTTCTTTGCTGATTGTTAGTTTATTATTTCTACACTGAATTAACAACTGATTTTCTTGTTATTTCCCGATCATGACAAGGAGAACAAGCGGGTGTGACCGGTCAGCAGGGGATACTTACTCCTCCATGCTCACTCCTCCATGGCACCTGATCACACCTCTGATGTTTCTGAGGAAATAGAGATGTCGAAGATTTAATAGGACATATAAAGGACATATATATTTTATTTTTTGAGAATTGGACACAACATATATACCTTTTTTTTTTAACTTTTATCACTCTTTTAACATTAGACGCTAACTGTGTGATAAGAAAAGATTAATTTCATTTTCTGTATCCTAATAAATCGTAATCCAGTTGGTAACTCTTACATGTAACATATTTACTTGATTATTTTCTCATATTCTTTTCTTTAAATGTTTAGTTTGAATAAATTCTTGAGGAGAAAAAAATGAAATAGAAATATAAATTATTTCAGTACAGAAACTTAAGTACTCCTTTTTCATAATTTGAAAAAAAGAAAAACAAAATAAATGGCCAAATATCCCTATGGTATCAAATAAGTAATTATATAAAATCATGAAAAACATGTGAATAAAATTAACAATTAAAATTTTGCTATGAAACACGTGATATAAGTAGGTACTAATCATTAGACTTGAAGATAAATCTTCTATTGTATTACATTTACTTACATGTTAATTTGTTTATGTACAGGATAATCCGATTTTTGCACAAGCGCTGAATTTTACATTACAGATTTTTTTATATAACAAAAGACGAGAAGCCATTTTAAAGCATGTTAAATACGTCATCTAGGAAGCGAACAAGACACAGCCGTCACCCTCTCTTCCTCACTCCTTTCTCTTCCGGAATATTTCTTTCTGCCTTGATTCCTACTTCTCCTACTTCTCACAAATATTGTATTCTTAGTTATGTTTTCTGTTTCCCTTTATCTTAAGTTTTCTTAACAATTATCAATTACGTAAGTACATTAATAGAGAGTTAAATGACAAAGTAAGTCAACTATTGTAAACATTGATGCTTCTCCCAAAAGTTTATTACAACAAAAAACTATATTCTAATATAAGTCATGAGAAGAAAGGATAGGGAAAAAACTTTCGAGTAGCAATCGTTTTCAATTAAAAAAAAAACCCACTAACTTGTGTTGGGAATGCTTTCGGGACTTTTTACCATGAAAGAATGAAGGTGCATGCAAGGGTATTAACATTTATTCAAACTCTTATACAACAAATTAGATTTGAAGCATATGATACTAATACTTTTTTTCAATGTTTATTGCTCTTAATGAATGTTCTTAATAGCGAGCGCAGCGAGCTTCGCGAAGCGACGCTCGTAACTGCGAGCTCTAACGACAACGCCTGGGCGAAGAGAAAATTCGGACTACTGCACATTTATTCTTTAGAATTTTTTGCTTCAGTAATTTTGACCCACAATGCATCACTCAGCAAAGTTGCGTTCTCGCGAGAATGACGGCAAATGTTCTACAAAAAGGTAACTCGCCTTGATTAAATGAAGATAAATTGTAAACGTAACCTTTTTCACTAACTTTCAGCACTGTTCAGTTTTTACTTGGTATTTGTAACTTACATACGACGTCATGTGACGTCAAAGTCTAGACGCACCAAATGTCCAAGCGGTTTGACGAGCCCGATCTAAATTAAAACAATAGAAGAGTTTGCGCTCGCTCTAACGGTCGCACCGTCAACATATTAGATTTTTTTTATATAAAATGTTGTAAAACAGAATCTAATTTCTTATACACTGAGAGCTCTACTTGGGATTGGGCAAAAAAAAAGAGCCAAACTAATAAAAATAAAAAAGAAATGTTTCTTACTGTACGTTATAATTACCTTATTGTGATGCGTAAATTCAACAAAGGTTTTTTTAATAACCTATTTTCAGACTTAAGCAGTTTCACTTCTTAAGCAATAAATGAATACATTTTAGGGATATAACAGTGTGCCTCCAGCAACCAAGAACACAACAAATACTACAATAAATATAGTTTTCAAAACATGAGCAGTCCAGTAGCCCTTTAGCAGACTGGAGTACAATTGATTTATTTCTGTTTACATCGACTTAGTCAACAGTAGGACAGGGCATAAAACACAAACCCCAGAAGTTCCAAAGATGTGTAAATTTGTAAATTTTGTAAATATTGGCAGACATTTTATAGCTATGCATGCCTTTTTAGGTCCTTCCGTCTCCAACGGAAGACCCCTCTATTATTGTATTGTTTCTTTTCCACTTCTATTATTATTATTATTCCACTTTTTCTTTACAATATTTGTACATTATCAATTTTTATGAAATTTTCAGTGGTAATGTGTTTTGATCTGAAGATGATCTTTTTTTTTGTTCAAATCTTTAAAATTCACTTCCGGTCGGAAGTTATCGCCCTTTAAGTCAATTTCAGAGGGTCTCTTTATCGACTATCGAACTCAAAAACGGCTCAAGCTAGAAAGTTGAAATTTTCAGGGAAGATAGAGGACATGTTGAGATGTTGCACCTCGGTCGGGATATCTTCCGAAAGGGCCTAGTATGGAAGCTCGTTAGGGGTTGAAATGTAGAATACGTTTTAGGACTGATTTTTGAGACATTTTGCTTGATATCTTTTAAAACATAATCATTTTGTAAAAACATACTGAACAATATTTGTGCAAAATCACAAAACCTTTAATATGATACAATGAAAAAAGTGCTGTCATTAAAATAAAGACCAAAAAGGGCAAAAAGTCTTCAATCGATAACTCTTTAGCAGTCAATATTTTGTTATACATTACTGAAGCAAAAATGTTCAACATGACAACTACAACTACATGATATGATTTTTATGTCACATGTTATATACATGAAGTTAAGGGCAATAAGGGGCCAGAATTCTAAACCTTTGGAGCTTTATATCCCGAACGTGAGGAATATTTTGATAAGTAATATTGAACAAAAGATGTTCAAAATAATGTTCTGATCAATATACAAACTTTCATTTTTCGTTAAACGCTCCTATTAGGGAGTTGATAGGCTGGCCCCTAAATATTTCTTTTGCAAATAACTCGAAAATGAGAGAGAATATATGAAGAGTTGTTGAACAAAAAGTATTAAAATCCTAAGAGCTTTAAGATGAAATGAAGAAAAAGGGGCTAGATACTCAAATTAGGTTCCAAGAGGGGCGAAAAGCCTTCAATCGATAATCATTTAGCAGTTAGTATTTTGCTAATACATTACTGAAAGGAAAGATGTTTATCTCAACCATTTACAACAATATATTACGATTTTTATGTCGTATGGTACATAATTAGGAGCCACAAGGGGCCAGAATGCTATATTTTCAACGCTTTATATTTCGAAAGTGAGAAATATTTTGATGAGTAATATTGAACAAAAGATGTTCAAAATAATGTTCTGAACAATATAAAACCTTTCATTTTTCGCTAAACGTCTCCTTTAGTGAGTTGATGGGTTGACCCCTAATATTTCTTCTGCGAATAACTCGAGAAAGAAAGAGAATCTCTGCAGAGTTGTAAAACAAAAAATGTTCAAAATCCTAATAGCTTTAAGATGAAATCAAGAAAAAGGAGCTGGGCCTTCAAATTTGGTTCCAAGAGGGGCCAAAAGTCTTCAATCGATAACTCTTTAGCAGTTAATATTTTGTAATACGTTCTGAAGTTAAGATATTTATCTCGACCATTTACAACTATAAATTATGATTTTATGTCGTATGGTACATAATTAGGGGCCAAAAGGGGTCACAATGCTAAATCTTTCACGCTTTATATCTCAAAAGTTGGGAATATTTTGATAGGTAATACTGAGCAAAACATGTTCAAAATAATGTTCTGAACAATATGCAACCTTCATTTTTCGTTAAACGTCCCCATTAAGGAGTTGAAGGGTTGGCCCTAAATATTTCTTCTGCAAATAACTCGAAAACGAATAAGAATCTCTGAATAGTTGTTGAACATTAGTGATCAAAACCCTTAGAGCTTTAAGGAGGCTGGGGAGTCAACAAATTAACCAAAAATTAACCATCAGATTTAACTTATTTTTTGATAAGGTATCTTAAGCTTTCAACTATCATTTGACAAAGAAAAAATATCATACATTTTAGTTTTAAAATTTGATCATTTTTGTATATCTTCATATGGAGCTTTTCTTTTAAAGGAGATCGAAAAAGTCTGAAAATGACTGACAAACCCCAGCCTCTTTAAGATGATATGAAGAAAAAAGGGCTGATCC